ATCCATGCTGGTCACTAGCCTCTCCAATGCTAATTCCAGGTTATCCATGCTGGTCACTAGCCTCTCCAATGCTAATTCCAGGTTATCCATGCTGGTCACTAGCCTCTCCAATGCTAATACCAGCTTATCCATGCTCGTCACTAGCCTCTCCAATGCTAATACCAGCCTACCCATGCTCGTCACTAGCCTCTCCAATACTAAGCTTATCCATGCTAGTAGCTAGCCTCTCCAATACTAAGCTTATCCATGCTAGTCGCTAGCCTCTCCAATACTAGTTCCAGGTTATCCATGCTGGTCACTAGCCTCTCCAATGCTAATACTAGCCTACCCATGCTCGTCGCTAGCCTCTCCGATACTAATACCAGCCTATCCAATGCTAACGTCAGCCTATCCATGTTAGTTGCTAGCCTCTCCGATGCTAATTCCAGCTTATCTATGCTAGTTGCTAGCCTCTCTGATGCTAACACAAATGAATAGTCTCCTTCTCATTTGCCAGCCTCTCTGTTAGCTGTGCCAGTTGCTCACTTAGCGGTGCCTGTCTATCATTAATCAGATCAATAACTGGCTTAGGAATAAATTTGCCTCCTGCTACAAGGATGTAGTCTTAATTTTGGCCCTCATACCGCACCATAGCTGGGTGTTTAAGGCTGCTRAGATCAGTACAGCAGCTTCCAACACCAAGTATTTTACCTGTGATGAAAGTGAAGCTTCCTGACTGTCTGTAAAGCTGCTCAGTTGTCACCTCTCCATCTTAAAGCTCTCTCAGTTTTTGTTACTTTTACAGATTGATCCAAGTACAAACCAGAATCCAACTAAAAGAAACTGAAGATAACTTCAAGATGTTTTTTTTTGTGTGTCTGATTATTGATATGTGAGCACACAGACATGCAGACCATCTCTCTACCTCCCCCTTCTCCTCTCTCTGTCTCTCATTCATACTCCCACCACCAATCATCAGCAATCAGCGCGAGCCCTCCACCAGCCAATCAAATCGCCCGGCCACTCTGCAGCCCTCAGGAACCTGCAGTCACATAAAGGAGACACACAGTTATAAAACACACAATGAAGCCACTTAAAGTATAAATAAACTGTCAGAGTCTTTAGGCTTTAAAAAAAGGCTGATGTGCTTTAAAGTTTCTGTGGAGTCATTTCAATTTCAGCTTCACTGGTTTGAWAAGARGAATAAAAATAAAACTCTAACGTAAGATATTCTGCTGCAAAAGACTGATTGTGTGTATGAAAAATAAATTGTTAACTTAAAAAAAAGGTCTGGCTTAAAACTTTTTAATATATTTTTTATTACAACAGAATAAATCAAACGTCTTGTTTGAAGACGTTGCTTAGCAGGTTGTGAGGAAACATGACAACACAGAAAGAAATAAAAATCTTTCTTTGCGTACGGGTCAGCGTTCGGCTGCTAAATGTGATGCTGCAGCCAAAAAACATGACCACATGCAGCCGGCTGTAAAATAACCTGAACTGAAGACAACAATGGGAACTAAAACTGTGACAGATGTGAAAACAAATTAAATAAACCTGCAAAATAACAAACAGAGTTTCAGATTCCTCAAACATGTCTGCTTTCTTATCTTATCTGACAGTTTGTGTTCGATTACGAACTTATTCTGCGAACAAATCCCACAAAAACACAAACTAACCACTTTACCTTTTGTATCAGAGCTTCCTGTTTGTTAATCAAACACACACACACACACAYWATATATATATATATAAATATAAGGGGTGCAACAATACATGTACCTGTATCAAACCGTATTGAACAGTGCTTTAGGTTCAAAACACACTTGTATGGAACAATAAAGATGTTAAAAATTTACTTTATCAACTTGTCTTCTGAAGATGCTCTGTGTTGAAGGATCAGTGGATCTGTGTTCGACTACTCCACCTAGGCTGCATTTTTGAGTGCAGATCCACTGAGAAACTTGCTGTTTCAGCAACATTTAATAAAAAAACCTGTTCTTCAGAGGTTAAACAAATGTTCATAATTAATTTAAATAAATTACAAGTTAAAAGGGGCATGGACATTTCTCTTTTTTTGTATCGAAAAAATATTGAACCGTGAATTTTCTGTATCGTTACACCCCTAATATATATATATATATATATGTGTGTGTGTGTGTGTGTATAATGTGTGTATTTTTTATTGAAATATTTATGTGTTGACAACTCGACATTTGGGGTTTTCAGGGAAATAATTTAAACTTTGCTATAAAGTTCTTAAAAACTATGGAGGCAGGTTTTAGCATATTTAAAAAGCTTTTTTAATAATTTAAAATGAAAATTAAAAGTTAGAATGTGCAGGAAGAAATATGGTCTTTGTTCACTTTCATAGATGTAGAAAATAAAAACTAATTACAATTTAAGCATAATTTATTTTACCGTTTTTTTAACCACGCCAAATAAGAATAACAACAACAACAATAATAATAATAATAATAATAATAATAATAATAATAAATTAAGCATAAATCTGAAAGTTTTTGAATTCTTCACTAAAACTGGTAAGTTTAGGATTTTTGTGGGAATTGTTGGCAATAAAACAATATTTTTCCAGTGTTTTCAAATAAACTAGTAGTCTTACTTGACATAATAATTAAAAAGACAAAACCTGAAACAAAATCTTTATGTGCAAATAATAATCTCTTTCTGGTAGACTGTTAAAAATAAGTGATAAAAAAAATGCAGTGTAAGGGTTTTTCCCCTGACTTTCTTCAGGTGGTTTAGAAACTGCAGCTAAATCCAGATAAACTGGTGTGATGGCACAAATAAATGGTTAACACACACTCAGACATACTGCAAACAGATAAAATGAGAACATCTTTCGCTTCGAACACAAACAAAAAAGAGCTTCGAATTAGTGAGCTTGATCGTCACCTGTCAGAAAAACAAATAAAAGACTGAATAAACAAAAATAAACGGTTTCTAATATATTTTATAAAACTATTTCTGAYGCTTTGATCGATCCAAAGTGGGGCTCAAACAGCAGTGAACACGTTTCAAACACAAACAGGTTCCTCAAATAGAAAAGTACAAACATACTTCCTGTTTCAGGGACTCTCTTTAAAACATCAGTCCCATTAATGTGAAAACCAGGAATTAAAACCAGAACGGTAAAAAGACGGGATGGAAATCAGAGCAGGCGAGCGGATGACAGACGTCCATGCAAATGTTCAGATGTTTTTTTGTTGTTAGTTGTTCCTGTTTGTGGCGTTACAGAGAGGAAACGACAGACAAGCTTCAGATGTAGGTGACGGCACCTTTACTGTGTTTCTCTATCGTGATTTCTATGTAGGAGGTGGGAATGTAGCCTTCCTCTCCGCTCTGCTTCCTCGCCCGCGTCCAGCCGTCGCCTTTATCCTCCTCGATGATGTACAAAACCTGATGGGCGGGGAGAGATTTAATTAAAAAAAAATAATAATAATAACAAGTGTCGTATATTAACAAGTCATTCTGTTAAAATCCTGACAGCTTCTGCTTTTTTTGTGCAGCTCCTGAGCCCCTCCAGGTGGCAAAACGAAAATTTAACCAATCCCCACATGAAGTCTAGCAAAGTTTACATGCAATTTGTTGGATAAAAACTTAAAACAATGTACAAAAAACTTTATAAACAGAACATCTATTTACCATTCTACATTTTCTTTATATTTAAAACTAAAGTTTTGTGTATACCTTGTGAGAAAATAAAGAAAACTATAACTCTTATTACCATCATCCTCTAAATATGTATGGTGGGCCTAAACTGTCATAATTAGAAATAAAAGCTGAAGTACATAAAAGGGACCAATAAATAAATTAATATACTTAAAATGCACCAATTAAAAAAAAATGAGAACATTTTTTAGCACAAACATTACATTTTACTGTTTTTACTTGTACATGCATTTCCTAATATTTAAATGTTTTTATAATTTTTTTCCCACAAGTCTTTATTTTCACGTGTTGTTTTTACATTTCTCTGTCTCCTGWTTTTACTTTACCTTATGCGTTTCTGTCTTATTATGCAAATAAGGATAGGCGGGGCTTCTTGGGTCAGCTCCTCTCCTAYTGGTCAACAGACAGGAAGGAGCAGKAACCAKGTGCAGAYGACYTGTCTCAGTTTAGCTTAAACTTTAAAGTGTAGTTAAAAACRGAGGCACAGGAACGTTTTTTTCCTCCTTGCCTTTGATTTTAACTAAACTTTATAAACTTTAAGCTAAACTGAGGCAGCACAAGCATGCACTGTCGATCTGCACATGGATTATTTTTAAAAACAGCCCCAATGTTAAAAACAGTAAAAAGTAAATTATGTGCTAAAATATATAATTTATTGGAACTAAGCTGAAAAAACAAAAAACAAAAGATCAAATAAATTATAAAACATGAGGTAAGTAAGTTCTTGGTGCATCTTAAGTGTATTTATATATCTGTTGAGTTATTTATATATTTCCGCTTTTATTTCTAATTATGACAGTTTTGGCCCTCCATAAAACACAAAGCAGTAAATATAACAATATTAATGATATATTTTGTCAACCGACATGCTTGTTTTTGTTCTAGGTTTTGTCATGCATGTAGTTCTCTGATCACCACGCGGTGGCGCTGTTGGTCAAACGTGAGTTCAGGAGGAAGAARCATTACCTCATTCTCTGCCATCATGAGCGTCCCCTCGTCCTTACCTATGAGTCAAACAAAACCAGGCTGAGCGTTGACTCAACTCTCAAACCAGTTCAGATGATTGTGCAGCTGTTTCTGTATAATTACACACACCTGCTAATTAACTCTAAGTATTGCTCAGATGAGTTCATAAGGTCAGTGTCTATATTTTACTTTCTAAAAAAACAATAACACTGCTTAGCTTCAGCTAACACCTGTACCTAACCCCTCCCCCTCCCACATTAAATGTGATTACCTGCAGGATAACCTCACACTCCTTGTGATTCTGCTCCTTACCATCAAAAGAGTACATTGCTTTGCAGTGTCCGATAACAGGCAACGGGTCATCGTCATCAAATTCGTCATCGAACTCGTGAGGGTCGTGGTTTGGATGTGCAGGGCTGGGGTGGTGGAGGGGCGTGTGATGCTCCTGGCTGGTGTCGTCTGTGTAACTGCCCTCCGGACTAAWGAGAAACAGGCGAGGGTTTTGTTTGTGCATTACTAAAATACAGCATTACCGCTTGTTTCATTAATTTTACAAGATATACTCTGACAAAAATAACTAAACAGTTGCTCCTGAACTGTGTAAACATCTGAACTTATGAAGAAAAATCTGATTTCTTCATCAAATATAAAAGAGCAATGGTTGTTTCTAATGAGACTGCATGCAATTATACAGAGGAAGATCATTGGCTCACAAACATTTCAGATGTACAGCAGACCCATACAGGGGCGGTCCTAGACAACTGGCGCCCTAGGCACCATTTGAGGTGGTGCCCTTTGCGCAAATTTCTAAATCTCACTGCCAATTTACAATTCACATACCAAATTATTTTTTACCTTTAGGAACCAGGTTGCCCAATTAAAAAAAGTTAACAATATAATCCAGGTAAAGTTTATAAGATCTACTCAAAACTCTGCACTTTCCAGCCATTTGAAGAGCATTTTACTAGATTCTTGGGATTAAAAAGGCAGATGGTCTCCTGTCCTGAGCCTGGTTCTGCTGGAGGTTTCTTCCTGATTAGCAGGGAGTTTTTCCTCTCCACCGTTTGCTCAGGATGGGAGACTGTGATGAAGTGATTCAACACAATCTGCTGGTTTCTTCTTTAGATTGTTCTTTTTATGTACAGTGCCCTGAGACAACGTATGTTGTGACTTGGAGCTATATAAATAAACTGAATTAAATAAATTAAATAAAATTTTTAATTAAATAAAACAACATAAAATCAGTGTTTTAACTTTGTCTGAGATCATAACTTAAACTTCCATTATCTTTATTTTGTTTTTCTGTTTACACTGTACACCAGTACTGCATCATATGATACTTTAAACACAAAAATATCCACGGCATTTAATGTGGAAACAAACCAGACTGAGAAACCCACAGAACAAGTTACCTTCGTAAACCTCAGTAACCTGTGAATAAATCAACTACACTCTGATAAAAAGTTATTAAATATTTTTTTCATCCCCCATCTGTGGYGCCCCCAAGATGGACGGTGCCCTTAGCATTTGCCTACACTGCCTATACCGCGGGCCGACCCTGGACCCACAAAATAACAGTGAAAGAGACTTGATGGGCTGAARCAAATGAAAATCTCTAAACCAAATAAAGAAGACCGTAACGACAACACCTTTCTCAGTTATAACAAAACATCTAATTATGATTCATTTTAATTTTCATGTATGTACTGGACTCCCATTTGGCACTTATTGACCCACAGGATCCTAATTTGGGAACCAAGGCATTGGACTTTACAAAAGTCGTAAATGCAGTTAGATAAAATTCTTGACCTGGTGGGGAAGAGGGAAGATAGTTTCAACACTAAGAAAGTGGGTTGTTATATGTTTAAATCATACTTTAAAAAGGTAACGATTTAATCCAAATTTGTGTCCCCATCTGCGTAGAAGGAAGAGGTTTACCTTTCTCTGCCGTGAGGAGTTTGATGGTTGTCTGCGCTGTGTCGCCTGTCGCTTCTGGAGCTCTGCTTTCCCTCCACTTCAGACAACCAGCTCTGTCGATACAACCACACCAAATATAACATTTAATGATAGAATCACCCCCCCACACTCTTCTTATTCCTAAATAAAACGTGTCGCTTTAATCMTCTTTTCCTCTGCAACCTCATTTCTGTGGATTTCCGAGCGCAGCTTCTGGATGTTCGACATGGTTTCCGATATTTTGGGCTGCAGGCTGTTGGGGTCGCCCATCTGAGGGTTCTTCTCGTACACGTCCTTCATCTTATTCAAAGCATCCCTTGAAAGAAACACACCGACATTCACAGATGAAGTTTTCGGCTACATTTGTAAATAACTAGCTCGTGTCAAACTGATTTTAGGGGTTACCTCTGATCTGTTTCTTTCTGGAGCTCCTTGCCGAGTTCATCAATCTTCTGCTGCAGCTTCTTCCTCCTCTGCTCAGGTGGTARGTGGCTGAAATCCTCCAGAGACGGCGCCTGGGGACCACAGACGGTGTTAAAATCAGAACTGAATCCAAGGGAAAGTTGGTGTTAGCGTCTCTGCAGACGTGTTAACATTAAAAACGCACCAGTTAGGAAATTCTGGACTGACGGGATGGAAGTTGGCCAAAAGTCGATCCCATCATCTRCATAGCTATTAAAAGAAGTAACTCTATGGCTTTAAATAATTTATTCAATTAATTCAAATTGGTTTACTTGTTCCTAAATATATATTTCAACTATTCGTTTGATCGACTTTTAGCCTGATTTTTAAGCACCATTTAAAAAAAATCTTTAAGTCCTTACACATGGTCTAATAATCAATAAATCCAATCAGTCAATGTGACCAAAACTAAATTAAATGATGATGGCAGGCTTCTTTATTTGGTTTAGAGATGGCAGTTATAATTTGTCAGTATCTGTGTCAGACTGATGTTCTGTGTCCCCGGTTAAATCAATATTAACTCTCCCGACTCAAGAGACCAGCTTAACGCTCCATCTGGTTTGTGGCTCCATTCGTCGACTGGAAGGTGTCGCACTCAAATTTCTCTTCATCTAAAGATTAGATACGCAGATGCAAATAACCTCAACATTTTTTTCCTGTTTTTATTTAAAAAAATTGATTCTGTTCAAAGAGCTTCTTGACAGATAAAACGGCATCATTTCTTTTTATAAACACACAACAGCTGTTTATTACGACGGAATATTAGGGCCACACAACAAGGTTATTATTACTATTTTACTGCGAAAATAAAGTCATAATGTTAGGACATAAAAGTTGTAACATTACAACTTTAATCTCATAAAATTACGAGAAAAAAGTCACATTACGAGATTAAAGTTGTAATATTACAACTTTTATGTCCTAACATTATGACTTTATTCTAGTAATATTATGACTTTATTCGCGTAATATTACGACTTTATTCTAGTAATATTACAACTTTATTCTAGTAATATTACAACTTTATTCTAGTAATATTACAACTTTATTCTCAATATTACTACTTTATTTTCTGAATATTGTGACTTTAATC